GGTAGAGGAGCACCCTCATGGAGGCAAAGGGGAGGGGGGAAGGGGAGATGGGATGGAGGTTATGGAGAGGCAACTGGGAAGGGGGATATCATTTGAAATGTAAACAAATAAAATGATTTAAAAACCCTTAATTTCGAGGTTCCTTATTACTGCAACCTAATTTCATCTGCCTTAGTTAATGGGCCTCTCGAGCTTCAATACTGAATATTGATTTACACCAAAAACCATTGGTGAAAATGACAACCAGTTTATGAGTCCTTGTCGTATTTAAAGAAGATGTTGTTATAATCATCTTAATAAAACACCACAAAACAAGCCTGTGGCCATACTTTTTTTCTTTTTTGCTGTCTCTTCGTTCAAAATCTCCACTTGTCATAAAACTACAGGTCCTCTATCCTGCTGGCTCAGATCAAAATCCTGCTTGGGCCATATTAAAGTGGACACATTTAAAGATTAATCGACAGTAGACGCTGAATACTGAGTTGAATACGTAAGTTTGGATCTCAGGAGGACTAGGCAGGATGGAGTTATCAATCTACCGATTGCTTCTTTGGACAGGATCTCACTGTGTATCCCAGGCTAGCCCTTAGTTCGTGTTCCTCCCGTCTTAACCTCCAGCATGCTAGGATTTACAGGTTTGTGCCACTAAATCCACCTGACACTTTGGTATTGACTATCCTTCACCAGGTCTTGTCCTCATCCAACTCAGTTTTCTGTCTTTCTTTAGCGCAATGACCACTACCACTATGTAGCTGGCTGTTCAGGATGAAGGATCAGGGATCAGTGGTCCTCTTAGAATTCATCAGAACAGATGGACTGTAGTTTATAACGCCATTTATGGCTGGTGTTAGGAGGGAAGATATTCCCCAGAACAGTTCTATCTAGCAAGGCACCTATTTTTGGTACCAGACCAATAGAGATCTGAGATGCAACCTGCACGTGGATGCAGATTTTGAGGGCCAACAAAATATAATCACCCTGAATCTGTTTTCTTCTCACCTCTTCCTGTAAGTGTATAATAGGAAATATTAAATATCCTCACTGTAAAAATGTGAATAATAGTCTGGTAAAGTGGGTAAAGGGGCTCGCTTGCTAAACTTGACAGCCTGCATTTAATTCTTCAGACCCATATGATGGAAAGAAAGAAATCAACTCCTGCAAGCTGTCCTGCAATCTATCACACACACACACACACACACACACACACACACACACAGGCACACACATGCACACATGAATAAAATTTAATAATTTTTTGTGTGCACATAAAAGGACCTAATCATTGAACGACTTGAGACCAATCTCTTTTGAAATGAGAAACATACAGTTTTCTTCTTCAGCCTTCAAAAAAAGCTAACATTTACATTGGATTAGTGTATCATATTTTTGACAATAAAAGTTGACTATTCATTTAAGTGATTTTTAGTCATGTTATCTCTACAATTTTTGAATAACTATTACAGTTACTATTGTCCAATAACCTGCTTTCTGGGTGCTGGTAGAGTCAGTTACACACGTAAGTCCTGATGGGTAATCTTTGCTGCCAGAGGCTTCTTATGGAGTACAGAGGGTCCTGGGAGGAGCTTGCAGGGAGGAGGGGCTTACAGGGAGGGAGGGGCTTTCAGGGAGGGGCTTTCAGGGGGGGCTTGCAGGGAGGGGCTGCTGCATTAAACTGGCTTGTGTGCCACCTAAGGAAGTTTGAAAGGCAAAAGCCACTACTACACATCTAGGTTGACACTTAATTTTTGAAATTTAAGTGTAACAGTTGGTAAGGATATAATATTCACTTTTTAAAAGTTAAAACAAACAAGGAAATTTCCTTGTTAAATTCTGTGTCAGAGCTTAGATGCTGTAACTTATAGCTCCTCCAGGGAGTGATAGTGATTCCTGGTGAAGTGTGCTTGGGTAATTCCTCACGGACTTTGTAAAGGGTTTAAGAAGTACTGCGACATTTGGGTTCTGGAAATTGTCACCATGGAGACAGAGATGGCTCAGTGGTTCAGAACACTGGTTGAACTTCCAGAGGACATGGCTCATAACCATCTGTGACTACAGTTCCAGAGGAACCAATGCCCGCCTCTGGCTTCTGTGTGCACCCAGACATGCTGGTGCACAGACATACCTGTAAGCAAAACACCCAGATCCATACAGTTAAAAATAGACAAGTAAATAAAATGGGAGGACACAGCTTGTGTCTAAAAATAAACAGACACGAAACAAAGAAAGAGCACAAACACACAAACACCACCAAAACCCTGTCACCCACATCCCAGCCTTTCCTTTCCTCGAGAGATTTGATGAACTGGTCTGGTCAGATGGCTCAGTGGACAAACTCACAAGCTGACCGTGTGAGGAAGCTGCTTCCTAGAAATCATTTACTCACGAAAGGAGAGAACTTAATCTGAGAAATTATCCTTTGACGCCCAAACCCACCAGGGCACACATACACCGCCCATCATTCACATGCGATAATAATCAAAAAAATTTTAAGAGAGAATCACTGAGTTGGCTAACTCTCTGGGAGGCCGTTTTAAAATTGAATTTTTGACATATACTGATAAAAAACCTTGTTCAGAATTTAAGGGCTGATATTTTAAAATACATTTGTTTTATCACTTTAAAATTATATTCAGCGGAATCTACATAGTGATATTTAACATGATCTGCATGAAAACAACACAAAATAAATGAATGTTTATGCCTAGAAGAATTTTTTTAAGTTTTCAACGTTTTTTTATTTATTACAATGCATATGCATACATGTTCCTGCATGCACAGAAGTATTAGGAGGAAAAAAAAAAAAAAAGAAAGACTCACAACAAATTCAGGTTTTAACACTAAATGAACCAGGAGCTCACTCCTGGGCTCACTGCAGAGAAATTACATTCACTAAGGACTGTCAGAAGGACACGAAAAAGTCATATGCCTAGAAAATTTAATTTCCTTCCTTTTCTCTTCAAATTCAATGAAGTCTCATTGAATGAAAAAAAAAAAAAAGAAACCAAAGAGGAAGGACACGACTGCTGTTAGCATGGTGGGGGGGAAGGTTTACTGTAGATATGGCAGAGAGCATAGCCAGAGGCAGGAAGGAGAGGCCAGAGTGAACATGAGTCTGAGGAGATGGAAGAGGAGATGGGGGTGGTGGTGGAGGAGGGGACAGAGGAGAGAGAACAGGGGACAGGACACAGGAGAAAGGAGGGGGGAGGGGATAGGGGAGAAAGGGGACGGGGAGAGATGGGGGACAGGGGAGAGGAGAGAGAGGAGAGGGGAGGGAGTAGAGGGGAGGGGAGCTGCTAACCAAGAGGGGGAGCCTGAGCCAAGAACCTGGCCTAGACACTGGCATAGCCAAAATATTTGAGTTATATAGGGGCCAGAGGAGCTGTGGAAGGGAAGCCCAGGTCATACCTGAGTTAGAGAGTTCAGGGTAGGGGGTGGGTTATGCCAGCCAGGTGTGCACTGTACGTGGCAGAGATTGAGGAGTGCTGGGGCCAGCATCAGATTTAATTCTGTTAGTGGGCACCTCTGTTAGCCATTTGTCCTGAATTCGAGACCTAGCACTCATATGGTATACCTCACAATTGACAGCTTGAATTGATTAATCACGTAATTTCTACAGGAAAACTCTGAAGGTTTGTGACCTGTAGTTGGGTAGCTATGCATAAAAGATGTCTGCCTGGAGTGGTGCAGGGCACCTCAGGGGAGGGTTAAGAGAGAGCAGGTGAGTGGGGTGTCTCCTGAGAAGTGGCTGATGATTGAAGTTGAGGAACTGTCGGACCTGGGGCTATTGTTTGGAGATACTTTTATGATGAAAAATCATGATGTGACAATTCCTGTAACCATCACAAGGTTGGGCCTGCTCAGAAAGTTTGCTACTCCATGGCTCTGTGTGGAGATCACTTAGTTGGAAAGGAAGAACAGATGGAGCTGAGGCTCTGAGCCAGCATGAATCTTCCCTTGTGGTCACATGAGCAGGCTATTCATTGTCTGCATCTCAGTCCTCCTCTATAGATTAAAAGAGGCCAATGTCTACCTCCTGAGGTGTCAGAATAGGTGGTACTATTTACATGGTTTTATATCCAGAGGATGTTGAACAGACAGATGTTACTATCACAGACTCTTGAATAAAGTTGAAGGGCAGAGACTTGTGTGGTTGAGGCTTAGAATATCAGAACCCAAACATAAGAAACATTGAGTCTCTTATAACTTAAGACCTTATACACTCGAAAGCACATGTTGGTTTTGGTTGTCTTATCATCTTAGCTTCAGAAGAAGCCTTCAGCTTCTCACCTTTTCACGTAGCATTTCATACTGTGAAATGTTGGTGGTTAGCTTTGATTGTCAGCTTGACACAATCCGGAGTCAACTGGGAAGTCTCTATGAGGGACTGACTACATTGAGTGGGTCTATGGGCATGTCTATAAGGGATTCTCTTAAGGTATATGATGCTGGAAGACCCAGCTCACTGTGGGAAGCACCATTCCCTAGGCTGATGGTCCTGAACTGTGTGAGCGTGAAAAGCTTGACCTAAACACATAGTCTTCTGCTCTTGGCTGTGTGATGTGACTAGCTGTTTTAAGTTCTCGTGGCCTTGATTTTTCTCTGCTCTGTTGGATTATAACTTGGAATTATGTGACCTTCAAGCCTTTCTCTCCTAAGTTGCTTTTTTTGTCAGAATATTACAGTAACATGAATGGAGGTTGGGATCTCCATCCATACGAAAGAATGCAAATAGCAATACGAATTCTCTCAGGCAATGGGATTCATGGCTTTTCCATCCTGAACCAGTACAGGTGACTAGCAACCAAGAAACAAAGTGTTCCTTCACAGGTAATTTCACCTGTAAGGCAATTCCTTAGCTTGGTCTCCCAGGCCTTCATTAGAACGTGTTCATGGTGGTCCTAGTGGTTTGTTAGGAAGGTTTTCCAAAGGCTTCTTTGATAGTGACGAGTGCCCGGTGCAGCCACGGTAGCATTTTATAAACAGTTCCAGAGCACAACAGATGCTGCACACTGTACTTTATTTCTCTTCAGACAGACATGGGGAGTTAATGGCAATGTAACATTTTCTAACAACAGAAACAAAGTGCCATTATATGTAACGGTAGCCAACAGGAGACTTACTTTACCTTAACTATGCCAAGTACATTTATATATTTCTTGTATGTACAGTGCTGTAGGTATCAGCCACACCTAAAAGTATCAACCTTAAAAGCAGCCCATGGATAAAAGTATGAAAATCTTGATAACAAAGCTTTCAATACAAAACACTTATTTGTACATTACTTTACTTAGAAATAACCCCAATATAACTGAAGCCAAAGCAAAGCTTAGTTGAAAACCTAAGAAGATATTTTAACAAAGAACCTCCCTCTCCAAAGGAAAGTGTCTCCTAAAGGAAACTGAATCCGCCATCAATCCTTCAGATGTTATCTTGGAGGGGAGGATTTCCTGAAGGGAGCCAGCTGGAGGGCCCACTGCAGGTTCCCTAGTGGGAAGGTACAGGCATTGAGGCATAGCCACATGGCCGACACATTTAACATTCTCAGGATTTCTGATTAGCTAGCTTTTCCATCTTCCATGACTGTTTTTGTCTTTAGTCCTGGGCTTGGTGCACAGAACACTGGCTTTAGGTTCTTCTTCTTGGGTATCCAGGATGAAGTGCTCAGGAACCATCTGTCCTCTACCTGGTTTTCTTCATGCCCAGTGAGATGCACAGTGCACAGATGTCTACAGAGGATTGAATAATTCTCTGGCCGAGGCTAAAAGACAGCCACAATCGTTTACCTAATTCAGTCCCACAATGTTTTACTTAATCCAATCTTATCTAATTTTTTTCTACGTTGTGTATAATAAACAGTGAGAAACAGATGTCCCAACCAACTGGAAGGTTGTTGTTTAAATATCCCATTGGTTAAAATGTCAAACTTACTGTTTAAACACTCATTAGCCATATCCAACTTGAAACATATGCTATTGCATGACCATATTAAGCCAGACTTTGAACTATGTCAATGTCCCTGGAATCTAAATGTACCATAGAGCTTAAAAATGGTCTTGCAGAAGCAAGAATGCAGAAAGCCTTCAGACAAACATAACATTGACCCCCATAAAGGTCCCTCATCCCTCACAGTTTGAGTTTGCTGAAGACCTTCACACCCTGGTCCATCTGGGGAATGTTCTACTTGTTTAAGAATTCTTCCTCTCTCTCTCACCTCATAACAAATGTCCTCTGTCCTTATAATAATGGCATAGAAAAATCCCTGAAAGATTCAAATTGGGCAACAATACAGATCAGATTAGAGCCTTCATGGGCTTGACAATGTAGAACTGTATTTCTTAAAAAGTGTGTGACCATATTTGTCTGAGCTGCAATAGACACCGTAAAATAAGATCAGAATAGAACTTCAATGGCTCCCTCATTTCCTTAGACTGGCTTATATTTCAACCTTTTCCTGTTATTTTTTCCTGATAGGGTAGGTGTACATTTCTAACCATAAGTGATAAGGAAGTATAGAGACACCCACCACCTTCAAAGCACAGTTAAGAGTTGAAGCTTACCTCTATGAGTTGTTGTAGTCTAGGTTCGGTTACAAACACAGACTATTCACAATTCTGCCTATTCTATTCAGTGTGGGACTCTACACATGTGGGTACTACCCCCGTTATCTACATTCAGTCCTGATTATTATAATCCCTCTGGGTTTATGAGCACTTCCTAAACCCTGCTTCCCCCTTTCCTAGACACAGCAAGGCTCTTAGATGTAATAAGCAAGTATGTGCCCATGGAAAAAAAATGTAAGTATGAATAAAGACCACACCCCAACATGCAGAGACAAGCAAGCTGGGCAGGGTGGAGGGTTTTACTTGAACTACATGAAAGTGCTGCCTTAACTGTGGCTCTGGTGGAAATCTCAAGCCTGCACACAAGTTCAGCCCCTGAGGAATCACCAGGGATGAACCTCTCCGTTGCTCTCCATCTCTCTTTCAGAGCGCCCGGGTGAGCACTGGGGCTATGGAAGGCACTGGGCCGTTCTTCTCAACGGTTCTTTCTGAATCTCTCAGCCCACTTCTATGTCTGCTTGGTTTTGACTGATGGAGAGGAGATTTCAAAGCTTACAGAGGAGGTGAGATTCAGGGATGAAATCCTTCTCAAATATGAACTACATGCAGATGGCTCTCTGTTGCCCGACTGCAAAGTAATTGAGATTTTTTTTTTTAAAAAAAAAGGAGGAAGAAAAAGGCTAGTCAAGGCTTCTATATACACTCTTTGCCTCTAACATGTTTTTAACAAGAAAAAAAATGCACCACCAACTACTTTTAGAGCGAGTGCAGCCCCAATACTGTCCAGTGCTGGGGTCCAGTGACTGGGCGAATTTGCCATTCAAATCAGAAAACAAAATCCCACACCTGAAGGACTCCTATGAGCTTCTTCTTCTTCCTCTTCTTCTTCTTTGTTTTAATGTATATACATTTTTTTCAAATACTCTACAAATCTAAGTTCAAACAATAACAACAAAAACAAAAGAGAAACAGGTTTTATATTTAAAATGTCTGTGTTCTTCATCGTTACTTCAAAAAGCAGCTTGAAGGAGCCGGACACTTGGTGTGTACTGCAGACTCCTCCACTACAATGATCTTGGCAGGATAGCAGCACAGGGTTTGTTATTCCATATTCATCACGTGGAGAATGTAAACCGTTCACAGGATAATATTTTGCTTAAAAATTAGAATAACTTGAAAAGATCTGATCATCTTGTTCTCTGAGACCTACTGGGGAGGTCTGGCTTTCTCTCTCTCTCTCTCTCTCTCTCTCTCTCTCTCTCTCTCTCTCTCTCTCTCTTGCTCTCTCTCTCTCGCTCTCTCTCTCGCTCTCTCTTGCTCTCTCTGCACAGGGAGGCAGGACTGGGGGAGGCGGGATAAGAGGACTCCTGATACATCTATTCTCAACAGGCCACACAAAGCAACTCTCTGAAGGCCCAGCTGCCATAGCCAGACCCTAACTCTTTGCTCTGTTTCCCATCTGGATTTCTAACTGAATGAATGTCATGGGTTTAACCAAACATGCATGTAATCCTAGGTAACTTGAGTTAAATGCTGAATTGTCCAGGGACGAGTAAACCTTGAAGAAACAAGGTCAAGTGGGCAACGGCTATATCCATCTCGATGAACAATCCTAGGGTCTGTCAGGCAGAGGGGTAAGCCCCCACAGCGCAGTGGAGGGAGTGAGCCAACCCAGCTTCCTGAGCCCCTCGCATCTCTCTCAAGCTCTTCCCACCTTCTCTGAAATGCTTTTGAAGAATCAAGAGACAAATACCTCACATGGAAAAAGTATCTTTTCTTTTGTTTGTGTAACTAACAAACATTCTAGAGGTCATAACTAAATACAACTTAAACAATGCTGAGATGCATGGATTGTTTTCGAAAGCAGCTTTTGAAATATCAACCACAGTAATAAACATTGAATGAAGTACATTCCAACGTTAATACAGATGAATGGTATAGGGTGTGATAATGCCCCAAAGTTACTCCACAAATACCCCCATGCTAATTCTAAACTTGGGAAATCTCATTAGTTGGAGATTTCACTTCTTTTGTTATTCCTCTATAATTTCCCATCTTTTTTTTTTTCCTTTTGGCCCCAGGATGTACAGATAATCTCTACATTCCATACATACCTGAAACTTTTTATTCTCTCCCTCTGTCAGATTTTCAAATAAAACCAAACTACAAGATAATGGTTTGCATGTAAACCCATAGACATGGGTCATGGACTCCGAACCTCGCTTCACTGCTTCCTTAGGTTTTATGGCCAAAGTAACTTAAAGCCTTGCCTCAAGGTGGCAGAGCACTGCCAGTAGGTACCTGTGGCTGCCTAAGGGCCACGGGGGCGGGCTTCTTCTCTTGTGAGGTGGGGTCCCTGCCTTCACTACGCCCTCTGGTAGGACAGGCATTGAGCCTGCCTTCTCCTCTCTACAGTGGCAAGTGTCTTAGGAGGAGTGACTCTCCTGCTCCAGACAGGCCCAGCCTGGAGGGCCTGAGGGTAGCAGGCCCCAGTAAGGAAGTCTCAATATTGCTCTTTCTTACTGGGCAAGTCTGATCTCTGAGAGCTTCCAGACAGGGAGAGACCAGCTGCTCCGTTCCAAACCCGGTGCGCAGGCTGGTGAGGGCCACGCTCAGGGCAGGCTGCCCAGGCCAAGTTGCTGAGCCACAGGGAGGTTCTGCAGATGACGGTCTCGGTAAAGCAGGCACTTGTGGCTGCCTGAAGCGCTAGGCCATCCCATTCTTCCTGATGCCGAAGAAGTCGTCCCGCATCCACTTCCTGGAACCCAGAAGCCTCTGTTTCCTCCTCAGACAGGATGAGTATTGGAGGAGGAGTGTGTGTATCTAAAATATATGATTATGTACAGTCAGGGCTTAAGGTACTGGATGATATTGTATAAACTGCTAAAATGCTTCTCGGCACAATTGGTAGCTTAAAAAAATAATTTCCTATGGATTAAGGGCATTTTCCCATCACTGTCTTTCAGTAGGGAAGTCTCAGTGGGTACCAAGTCCATCTGGAGTTTCCAGTCTTTGTCCTCTGACTGGATATGTACCATGTGAGTCACATACAAAAGTCCTCTCTCCAGTCCAAGGAAGACCAGGCTTTCTTGTAGGCACCTGCCCCTTCCAGCATCCTGGCCCCCAGGGCCAGTGGACAGAGATGACATTGAAGCCTTCTCCACAGCTTCTAGCAGCCAGACTACAGGCTTCCCCAGCAGTCACGGTCCTGCGCCATTTGCTCTTTAGATGGTGGGCCAGTCTGGCCAATATGGAAAACAGATCCATGACCACAGGCACAGGCCAGCAGGTGGAGCCACACATGCTTCTTGGCAATTCCTGGTAGGGTTTTCAAAGCCTGGAATTTCAATGGAACTGTCTTAAATAAATAAATCTTTTTTTCCCTAAATAATGTAAAAAATAAATGATATTTCCCTTTGGCAGTTAATAGCTGATTCGACCATTTGCCTGAATATGTGGTGTGGTGTGTGTGTGTGTGTGTGTGTGTGTGTGTGTGTGTATACTCTGCTTTAAAAAAAAGATTGCAACTTTGTTTCCTGGTACATCATTGATAATGCATATAATTTCTACTGCTTTTGTGAACCTTTTGCATATTTGTTTGGGGTGGGTCTGTTGGCCTCACTTGTGGCCCAGGTATGCCCCCAGAGTGATGCAGGCCCCCACCAGGGCCAGGCTGAGCAGGGTCTTCAGAGACAGCCAGGAGAAATCAAACAGAGGCCGCATGCTGGGGCCATATAGTTCCACAAAGGCATCCTGCAGAGGGAGAGAGAAAGAATGACAAAGAAAGAACATTAGCCACCAAGAGATCTCAGGAGCCCTCCCCACCAGCAGGGCAGAGGCCCTCCCCACCAGCAGGACAGAGGCTCTCCCCACCAGCAGGGCAGAGGCTCTCCCCACCAGCAGGGCAGAGGCAGGGCACCAAGTGCCCCAGCATGCCAGGTAACTTCAGACATCAGGGGGGAATGCAAACCTACTCTTTGGAGGCAATGACATAAAGTGAACTAGAAGTTCTTACTGTACAAAGTACGTGTGAAACAGGGCTCACCCCAAGTAATATCATGGAAGGCAATGGACAGGAAAGTGTTCAGGCTAACTCAGTAAAGACAAGGGAAAATTGGCAGCTTTGCAATTTTTTTTGCTTGCATAGCCATTCATAAAAACAATAAAGCATAGTTCAGGCAATGTCTCTCACACATCTTTTTTATTGTGTGCTTGTTGTATCCTAAGGACTGTACTAGACACCTAACGTACATTATCTTATTTTCATATCAATCTTACAAGATCATTTTAGTTCTTCTTGTTCAGAAGATGGCAACCTTACCTGCCGGTTGTAACAGACTGTCAGTCACAGGGCAGTTGTGAGGGAGTGAGAAGGACTAGGTATAACTGTCCAGATTGCAGGCTACAGTTTTGATAGAGAGTCAGTCGAGCTTACTTGTAAGAATTCAGAGTAGGGGGTAGTTAGGGGTTGAGGAATGTGTGCACGAAGTGGTAGAGCCGGGATTTGAACCTAGATCCAAGCCAATGTCCTCTGCTCTGCCCTCTCTGGCACTGGGATTCTGGCTAGGTGCTACCACACCTAGCTTTTCACACAATGCAGGGAATTAAAAGCATATCTTTTATACTGGGCATAAAAGTGCTGGGCAATGGTGACACACGCCTTTAATCCCAGCACTTGGGAGGCAGAGGCAGGTGAATTTCTGAGTTCGAGGCCAGCCTGGACTACATAGTGAGTTCCAGGACAGCTAGGGTTACACAGAGAAACCCTGTCTCAAAAAACAAAACAACAACAACAACAATAACAACAACAACAAAAGCCTATCTTTATACTTGCAAAGTAACTGCTTTACCAGAGGAGCCATTTCCTCAGCCCTTACGTTGTTTTGAGTTTGGCCTACTTTCTCCACATGCTTATTAATCTATTCCGTCTACATGTAATTGCCTCTGAGGATCCTGAAGTAATCTTAAAGGGGAGGCTGAAAGCGTGACTAAAGGAGCCGCCCGCGCGTTGCTAAATATCTATTGACGCGGCTATTTTTCATGAGTGCATAGTATCCTGTACTGGATCCTTTAAGCGACATTTTGTCTCACGCTGAATTATAACAATACTATGATATTCTTTTGTGCATCGGGTGTATAGGCACTCATTTCTAAAGGAATAAGTTCCCAGAACTTTACTGACAATGCATTGACGTTGTGATCAATAGTTATGAAGGGGTTGTGCCGAACTGCCCTTGTTCGCTCATGGCAGCCTTCTGACCAAAAGCACTATCTGCAGAGTGGCCATGGTTTAAGGCCGTGGTTCATATGAAGGACCATCTTGGCCCCCAGGGATGTTTGAAAATATCTGATCCTCATTATTTGAGGCGAATGAGTTGTTGGCTGCAGTGGGTAGCTATCAGGGGTGTCACCATCCCATAAGGCCTGGGCAACTTCTACTAGGAAGGATGACTCAGATCCAGATACCAAATGGCCCGCAGACTGAGAAGGTCTACTTTACAGGACACAGTTAAAACCGAGGGTCACAGAAGAACAAACAGCCCAAGTGAACATCAATGATGTTGGCCACATTAGCAACGGACAGACAGAGTGGCTGACCCCAAGCAAATGTTGGGTAGCTCTGGTGGGGCTAGATTAACTCTTACCAGGAGGGGGCGCAGATGATTTCTTTTATGTTCCTATTGTTGGGGATGTCTAAAATTGAGTTCCAGAAAAGATGGCAAAGGGTACAAGTGAAATATGTGCACAGATCTCTCAGGCAGAGATCAGGTTCCACCCTGATGATTCCTGAAAAAGTATCCTTCCCCGTACACGGGCAGGGACCACCTGACAGGTAGAGGTAGCAGAAAGACAGCTGCCACATCTGGTGGTCACCTCCCATCTTTTTCATAGCCAAGAGTGTGTGGGCCCCTAAAGGCCCAGTCAATGATATCCTAGTTCTTCAGGGCATCTTTGATCCTGGGCTGTTTATAATTCAGCTTTCCACTGAGAGAGTCAGGCTGTTCCTTGAATTCCTTCAGTTCTCTGTGGCAAAATCTAAAACAAATTAAGCCATTGGTCATGTGACCTTTCCAGTCATCCTGAGAAAGTGGCAGAAGCAGAGACAACTCTGGGGATGGGGAGCATAGTTTCTTCCCAGGTTGCTTAGTACATAGAGCTAGGGGACTGAAAAAATGTCTCCCCTTGACACCTCCCTTCCTGGAGCTGGGTGATTCCTTCATGCTTTCACCCCTTCTCCTCACTAACAGTCTCAGTCAGCATCCCAAGGGCCATTTTCCAAGTGTATTGTAAAGAAAAACAGCTTTCTGAGAGTCAGGTGAGCTAACTTACTACCTCCTGGCTAAAAGAATGGGAGTGGAGCTTTGAAACCCCGAGGGTCTAGAAAGGCCTCTGAACTTGCTGAAGGATCTGGGTGATCCTCTGCTCTGAAAATTTATCAATTTGTGGCCTTAAGCAAATTATTCGACCCTGAACCTTATTTTATCCCCATGGTTGTACAATCAGGAGCTGTGAAGAGTAGCATACAATCCTTGAATTCATCTGTGTGGTCCCGCAGGGAGCAAACACAGTGATAGCCACATGTGCTGTTGTCTGCCCTCCGCAGTGATAACCATGTGTCCTGTTGTCTGCCCTCCGGCTTTCCCTATGGTAGCTCTGCACAGCTCCACCTGTCTGTGCCTTCTCTGGTAATGCCCATTTGCTTCTGCACAGAAGCTGCTGTCCAGCTCCCTAGTGGGGCAGCTTTAGTTCTGAAGACAGAAGTGGGAGTAGCCATGTCTGCTTGTGCAGTGTAGATGACTACATTGGTTTGTAGGACGGGGCGGTGGTGAATCATTTAATCCCTGCAGTTTACACAAGACCCCAAAGCCCTGCCCTCTGTAATTCCAAAGTGCAAAGGGACCTTGTGGGCTTGGAACCGAACCTTTGGTCCGTGGAGCAGGTGTCTGTCACCCACTAGCCATTTGGCAAACACACATCAGTGGAATAAGCCGATTTCTTTCATTATACAGCAGGACTTCCAAATTCAATCTAACGGACATCTTTAAGAGAAAGAACTTGGGAAGGCCAAAGAAAGACCAAGTTAAAGAAAACTCGATGTTCTTTGCAACCACCTCCAGATCCTTCCCATAGGAAGGAGGCTCAGCCAGCTCGCAAGGGCCCCACACATCATCCACTTGCTAGGCAGCTTCTATGCTGCTCAACTGCTAAGCGTGTCGTCACTTCCTCCTTCATTCCCTGTGGCCCTCCACGAGGCAGGTATCCGGGATATTTGACCACTTGCCCTCCATCAGAGAGACCTGGAGTATCTCACCCACACTAGAAAGACACACTTATAAAATGTTCTCCACAAGTAAATGCCCAACAATCTAGGTCACCGAAGTCTTTGTTACGTAGAACAGGGCTATCTCTGGACACTCAGGTAGACACGCAGAAGCTTGGTGCTTCTGAATGGTAGGAGACATGTGACTCACTTCCAACATTGTCTGTTTGCTGATATTTAACTGCTGTTCAAGTGGATGCCAGTGAGAGAAGGAGTAAAGAAAGGCAGCAGCAAGAGCACAAGTAGTGCCCGGAAGTGTTCCCTGAGGACAAGGAAGCTGAGATTGTCTTGACATCAGGTTTGGCTCTGAGCAAAAGCAGAAGCATGCACTCACAAGGAAGTGAGGGCTTTTTTTCTACCTGAGCGAAGCAGCTGGTGAGGAAGTGACTCCATTTCCTTCTTCTCATTTGGCTGAGCAGGATTTCCTCTGCAGCCACATGTGCTAAGTGGACCCTGAGGGTTCCCTCTGCAGAAAAGGCTAGCTTTGTCAGTGGCTTGCTTGAATCTGTTCCCTGTGACTTTTGCTTCTTAGGCCTTCCCTATTCTCCCAAAGTACTGATTTCAGGTCTGAGGGAAAAGGAAAGGAAAAAACAACGTGTGAACATGGAGCTGAAGGGCACACAGCTGCCTGGCCTCGGCTGGGGAGGAACACACTGGAGAGGCATGAGAAGTGTCACTCTTCTTCCTCAGAGTCTCCACTGCCCAGTCAATGTGGCTCAATCTTGGAGAGGCTCTGGGCCCAGAAGGCAGGACTCTTTGAAGTATAGGCCGAAGACATGCATACAACGAAACCTAATCTAAGCATCATTTGGTTGTAACTTGAAACCTGCTGGACAAATGACAGGAGACGAGAAGCCCAAACACAACAACGATAAAACTTGCCTGCCTGTAATGGCTTGGGCCAGAGATGTTTGGGGTATATTTTGCTATGAAAATTTAGGTAGGATGCAAATGAACTGGTGGGTCTCAGGAGCCAAAGCGGGTGTAAGATGGGAAACGTGAAGAGTACCTCTTTTCTTGAGCAGAACAGTTTGAAAGTCATTTGCAAAGGTATCTGTGCCAGAAGGCTGGTCAAAGGGTACTCAGGTCAAAGAGTACTCAGACATATCCAGCCACCTCAGGAGTCTCACACCCAGAGATGGCCAAAGCCCCCCGGGCAGGAACTTGAAGGGTTCCTTGGCTCACCCACCACTTGACGAGCCTGGGTGAGATATGAGCTGGCAGAAGCACAGATGTGAGCTGCTGATGTGCACCAGCTATGCAAACCCTGAAGGGAGGCAGCCCATCCACCTGTGGTTCAGGTCCCTCCTGCACAGGGAGGTCTGAAAGGCACACACAGAACTGGGTATAAGGTAACAGCTATGACTTTCCACTCACCAGGTTCATGACAAAAGAGACTGATTTATACCCAGCCTTGGCATCTCACCATCAG